ATCAGTTACATAATTTATCTATACAAGGTCCTAAATCACGTGATTTACTAAAATCATTAAATATTCGAATACCATTACATCGTCCATTGAAAAAATTATGGAATATTAGATGAATATTGGGCACTTAGAAAACATGTGACAATAATGGATTTATCACCATTAAATAAATTTGAAATACTAGGACCAGATGCAGAATATTTACTACAAATGGTAATAACTAAAAATATTAAAAAGATGTCTAATGGACAAGTGCTATACACAGCAATTTGTACTCGTAAGTTAATTATTCTATACGAATAACTGTTAAATGTTATTAATAAGTTCTTCACACAGATATAAATGTCTTAACAAATAGTTTGATAATTCTGTATAATTTTTTCAATGGACGATGAGTACTGGTCTGTAGTTTTATGAGATATATGACTCTTCGAATTGAACTAACCATAATCCGTTTGACCTTTTAAACTAAAACTTCATTCACTTTCGTTCTAGACACCGGTGGAATGATTGATGATGCAATGTTATTTAAAATGAATGAACATTGTTATCGTTTGATATGTAGATCAGATTATACGGGAATCTGGTTGCAAGAACAAACACAAAAACTGAAACTAAATCGTGTATGGATCAAATCAGTGACAGATCAGTTACATAATTTATCTATACAAGGTCCTAAATCACGTGATTTACTAAAATCATTAAATATTCGAATACCATTACATCGTCCATCAATAGATGAATTAGAATTATTTCGTTTCACAATTGGAAAAGTGAGTGATATTGTTAGTACTCATGAAATACCGTTGTTAATATCAAGAACAGGTCATACGAATGAATTGGGTTTTGAAATTTGGTGTCATTCGTCGAATTCTGTTAAATTATGGAACAAAATTTGGTCGAATGGACAAAATCCTGTCTACAATCTGAAACCATTGGGTTTACTAGCGTTGAATATTTCGAGAACTGAAGCTGGATTTTTACCTTTTGATTATAACTTTGATGGCCAGACAGATGCAATCGAAGCTGATATTGGCTTTGTTATGGATTATACAAAACAAGAAGAGTTTATTGGTAAGCAAGCATTAATTGAACGAAAAGATCGTCGACAAAGACAATTTGTCGGTCTCGAATTACATTGCAATGATGACATAGAAAACGCATCGCAGGGCGATTACGTGTACTTAGAGAATAGTGATCAACAAATCGGTATCGTTATAAGCAGTTGTAAATCACCAATATTAAATAAATCGATAGCATTAGCAAAAATAGACACTGAATTTAGTGGAATTGGAAATAGAGTTGAAATTAGAAAACGAGATGACTATGAGAAATCCATTCCAGCAATGATTGTTAAATATCCATTTTATGATCCAAAAAAATAGAAATTAAAAAATTTTTCCATCAGCTAAGACTTCAGCGGCGATCGGTCGCAGTACCTTCGACATTTTATTTATTTAGTACCCATTCGAAGTAAGAACCTTAGATACTTCTTAAAATTATTTTACTAACCCTAGACAAAAAATTTTTAGTAAAACTGATAGGATTCTCATAATAATCTTACCAGTTTCTTATATAAAATTGTTTAAGATTTCCCATCAATGATCGTAAGTGTCTTATAAGAATAAGAGTTTCATAAGAGATTCGTAAGAATAGGACGTACCAAAAATTTTTACGTTATTTTTATCTACTAGAAAGCAGCTTATGAGTCAGTCGGTTTTGCCGGTTTCTGTTATGATTAAGTTGCTTCACAATTCTTTTAAAAATAAATGACCATAACAGTCATTTATTTTGATGACTTGTGATTGTGTGAGTCGTATTCGTAGAACTTTTTTCTTTTAAAACTATAAAAATTATTATTTTACTAGTATACATTAATTAGTTAATCGGACAATATTTTATACTTCTCAATGTAACTTTCATTCCTACACTGTAATCTCGGGAATTATTTTTAAAAAATACTCGACGATTTTCAAAAAGTCCATATATAATTTCCCTGAGAATTTTCTAGATGCTAGAAAATCAAATTTACAAGAAATTTGGAAATTAGACGCCGATTTTTCATATCAATTTAGTCGAGAAATTTTGAAAGCGTCTTCGGCCATAACTAATTGCAGATTCGGACTCTCCCCATGCAGATGAAAAAAGTTGTTCGAGGAGTACGGCGAGTATTCAAACCTTCGGAAAATTAAGCTACGGATTCTCGATAGAAGCTTTCGAGAGGTATCAATTTCGAGTCTTTGAATTCAGATAGGTAGCGAGCCACCGAGAAAAATTTCGAGCCGTCAAACAGACTTGTTTAGGACTTTCGAACTCTCATCGCACCCTCGGGAGAGCGAGGACTCGGAAATCCCGAATATTTCTGTTCGACGTCTCGAGGGCTCGCTTCTGAAATCCAAGGACTCGAAATCGATACCCCTCGAAAGCTTCTATCGAGGATCCGTAGCGTAATTTTCCGAGAGTTCGAGACCCATGAAAAGCATATGTTCGAGCACTCGAAGTACCCCTCGATCAACTGGATGGCTTCATAGTTTGTTACCTTGTACGCAACAAGAGTTTTGAATCAAAGTACTTCAGAAAAAATTCTTTGCCAAACAATGGAGAAAATTTTTTCTAGATTACCTCGATTCAAAACTTGTTACAAACAAGGTAACCTACTGTGGAGTCCGAATCTGCTATAGTTTTAGCTGAACACGCTTTTAAAATTTCTCGACTGAATTTTCAGTTCGATTTTCTAGAATTATGAAATATGCTCAGTGTTTAATTTCATCTATGGAAGTTTGGAAACTGGAAAAATGAAATTAATTTCCAGTTATTTGGAATATCACGGATGATTTTTCAGGCGTTTGTATAATTATATGATGTCGTGTTTAGATGGTTCAGTACTTTGAGAAGCAGAGAATTGAAATATTAAATGGTAAAGTAAAAAGCTTCTCTGAGATTGCGTAAACCTGATGGGCTTCTAGGTTAAAAATGCTCTCAAATATTGATGTTTATTATTTATGTTTTGAAAGGTACTTTGCTTATTTACACATCGAAAACAGAAATAGATGTTGTAACTGTACAGAATCTGATTAACATGACAAAAAATAAAAGATAAAAAGTAGCAGAGAAAAAAATAAAAACTTTTTTACCATTTTCAAAACTAAAAGTAATCATTTTAATTTGATGTTTTTTTCATGTACAATAAAAATGTAGCTATATGTTGAAATAAAAAGTGCGATGAGAAATAAAAAAGAAGATTCATCATTACCATCATCGTCATCAATCAGTGAGTTACTTGGAAAATGCTATAAATCAAAAACAAAGACAAAACTTGCATGAGGCATAACTTAGCAATTATGGAAAATAATGACGATGGTTGCTCTATAGTTTTATGGTTTCATTTATAAAGAAATAATGTACTCTCAAAAGAAATTAACCAGCTTTTGCGATACTTGCAATACAACTCTTTTTTTCAAGGCCTGAACATAGAGGGAAAAGTTGATATTTGCACTGTTTCTTATAAAGCTATAGTTAGTTCATTACTTTTCCAAAAGCCCATCACCGGCACTTATTTTAAATTGGAAAAACGATGAACATACTCATTTTAAGAAACTTAAACCGTTTTGTGACTACAATCACTTTTTAGCGTATGCACCGGTAGCATGGAAAATCACACAAACGGCTCTCCTTCTCGCTCGAACATCGCAATGACGATTTTCATTACATTAGTAATTTATGCGCACATTTTCTTATTGATTGTATCCGCTTCTAGTGAGATACCTCTACACCAGACACATCCAAACGTTCAGTGGTCATACATATACGACTGTCAAGATTAAGGTAAACAAAATGACTCATTGTATTTTAGAAAATCGATTTCGAATTTCAAGAATCTTGGGAATTATTTATAGAAAATCGGTCGATTTTCTAGAATATAAGAAAATGAATAACTCGAATTTCCAGTAGAAAATCGATGCCGCATTTTCATATTTTTAGAAATTCTATGTCAATTTTCTGAATAAAATGAAAACTCACAAATGAAAATAGAAAATCAGAAAATCAACGAGCGTTTTTTTATAAATATCAGAAAATGGTCCTCAATTTTCCAGATCGATTTTCTATAGATTGAAAATGAATTCAAAATTATAATGTATCTAAAATATAATAAGTTGCAATTATGGCCTAATGGTTATAAGATATCCAGACAGATGAATAGAAAATGACGAGTTCCCTCCTCGTTAAGTACAACTTGTACTTTTTTTTTTCTATCATTCATGCACTTCCGATGAAGGACAGTAATATTTCATAAAACTGGAAATCAGGCTTTTTTCTGACTGGCATTCAACTTGAGGATTTCTTATGTATTTTCTTATGAACCTCTTATAGAAATCCTATCGAATTCTTATAAGACACTTACCATTTTCAATGGGAAATCTTATACAAGTTTATATGAGAAACTGGTAAGACTCTTATAAGACGTTATAAGAAATTGGTACTTATAAGGTTTATAAGTTTATGATAAGATTCTTATATAAGAATCGATCTCTAGGATGGAATATCTTACCTTCTAACATCTTAATAAAATAATGTACAATCTTAATTAAAATCTTTGATGACTTTATTTTCATTTACCCTTTTGTTTTGCTCTCACACAAGTAAAGCAACAATGTAAAAATAACTGAATTTTATATTGTTATTTTTCTTTTATACTTTGCTCATACTTGCTCGCTCGAAAGTGTCAACAACTATTCAGAGAATGTACAGTGCAAGTCAAGGTTCAGAATCGAACTCCTAGAAATATGAAATTCTTTTGATTCTTCAAACTGTTCAACTTCTATCACAACAGCATAGGCTAGATATTCAAACACTGTTAGTTAACGGTAAATTAATGTTATTAAAAAACGAAATAGTTGTTATTGTTAAGTTACTAACAGATTCTCATCCAATCTTGAAGAAATCTTAGATAAAATATATCCTATTCTTAACAAAATCTTATTAAGGCGTCCCCCTCAGTAATTGTGATTTTCGATCAAAAAATTGGTTTTGAGATAAGCACATAGAAACGTAGTCCGAAGTGTCTACTTTCCGAATCTATATCGCTTTTGGTTACAGAACTGAGTTTTCGGGGATGTTGAGCAAGTTTTCTAGCCTCGAAAAATCCGACCTGCAAATAATAGCTTTCTTATACTTATGCAATTAAAATTTTTCTGAACACAGATTTGTAGAGCAGACGTTTCTGATCAAAATAAGACCTCGCACAACTCTGTATGACCTTACATCAAAAAGCTACAGACATTTTCCTACAAGTCCTAAAATTGAGTATTTTATACAGCGTTTTCACTATATAATAGTTACACCTGAAGTATTTCCCAAGATTTTTTATAGCGGTCTGTCGTAGAGAGTTTATTCTTTTTCTGTTTAAAAGAGGAAAAGAAACTACATGGTCTGACAAGCGCCGATTTTTGAATTAGGTCTTAGTTTCTTATCAAGTTGAGGATTTTTAGAAAATCCGAAAGGAGTTTACGGGTTTGGGAGGTTGTTGGTTGCCTGGAAAACCAATAAAGGCTTAACTGAAAAATCGACGCCCGCCAGACCATGTAGTTAGGTGGCTGGCTTAAAACAAAACAAACTCGAACTCTCCAGCTTGAAGTATATTAAAAAATCTTGGGAATACTTCAGGGTCCTTTTTGGGTCTTGATCTGTGATAAACTCCTGAATGGTAAGACTTGGAGACAAAAAAATTTTCTTTCGCGTAACTCATTAAGCCGAACGTTGATTGAAAGTTTGGCACAAATCGAATGTACGGTGTCGGAGATAATTTCTGAGGAGGGGAGGCCCTTAAACCTTAGATTTTTTTTATTGTAAGATCTTGGAATCGGTATGAAAACTTTTATCGGACATAAGAAAAATAAAAATGAAAATCTGACGAAATACTGGTAAACAATAGTAAGACCAAGCCGTTTTCTGCATGTACCAGAGATGTCATAATACTATTATGGTCTGTATCAGCTTCCTAACTGGAATAAAACCGTTACGTGAATGTATTACACCTACAACGTGTTATGCTTAAATATTTCTTCTTAAACTTCCACATTCAACCGCTCAAAAGTAGTGAGCGGAAGGAATTAGAAAATGCACTTAGACTCAGCAGAAAATGTGCATTTTTTTTAAAGTGGATAGAAAAGTGTGGTATTTTGAGTAATCTATAGCACTCAGTGTTCTGCTCAATAAAAAGTACTATTTAATTGAAGTCTGCTTACATTCTTTTTCTTAAATTTTCAATTTAGTGATATATACTGCAACCTCAGTTATATTACATTACTATTTATAATTTCTGTTTTTCCGAATTAAAGCAGACTATCTCTAGAACTCATGGAATAGGGATTCGTTTAGTAACGATAATATTTAGTAAAAAGCATCGTGATTTCATCATTTGCGCTCCTAAACTATGGGACCATACAATAAAATTTTATGATCATGCCTAGTTACAAAAATAGTAGATATACTTGTTATGTCATTGTTTCCAATTGCCAAATACTGCCATCTATGAAAACTACTTGAATGCGACAATGTTCAGTTTTTTCAGTGTAACCGACACCGGTGCATACCTACTGCTCTTAGACACGAAAACTTCATCAAAAAACCTTTAAAAAAAATGTTAAAGGTGGCATATTCACCAGAAGAAAAAAGGGATATTGGACTTTAATTAAAAAATTTTTCATTAAAAAAACTTTCATTAAAAGGATCTTCATTAAAATTTTTAACGAAAAGTTTCGATACTTCCATTAAAAAAAAAACGCTTTAATGAAAGTCTTTTTAATGAATATCACTCAACTAGAAAAAACAATGATTTGGGACAAAATAACCGTTGAATCGGCTGAAAGCTGCCGTTGAAACAATTCACTGCTTTTTTCAATATTTTATAAAAACCAGTGGCAACAGCGGTTGAGTACGGTTTTTTTCTCTAGCTGAACAATGTTAGTCCCAGATTTTTCATCTGAAAACGAACTTGTTCTCTTTCATATTCGAATTGCACGTTATTCAGACTTATCCTTAATTAGGGAATTACCAAGGTGAAGAGAAATAGTCATGTTTTTCTATAGTTATGTGTCGTTTGAGCAAATTAAGATCGCTCACTCTGCTGCTTTTAACGAGGATAATTATGGTCAGTAGGTGAGAATAACACGAAATAAAGAAAAGACTGCTTAAATAAAGAAAAGCCGATGTTTAGGCTAATTCTAGTAACAAATATATTTGCCCATTGTATCGGACATTACATGCGGAAAACTTTCTTGGAAAGAGCAATCAGAACTGTTCCCATCGCTTGGGAGAACATTCTGTGAAGAAATGGGCGAAATAAGGTAAGACTTTTTGCAGAATTCACTTTATCTCCTTGGTATGCCGTCACAATGAAATGATTTTGAATTTAGGTGTAAATCAATAAGCGCAGGATTACATAATAATAAAAAACCGTAGAATTCAAACTGAATATTCAGAAGAAATAAAAATATTGTTTCTGTTAAATTGCTGATGAGTTTACCGTTTGGATTGCTCAACGGTGTTGTATCAGGGATGAGCTAGAAATCATCTTTGGAGGGAAGCAATCGTTCTTGTTTTTACTTCGAATTTTAGGAAATATACTGCTGAAAAATATAATTCTTCACAAAACAACAACAGTTTATTGCTCTTGATATTCTCTCTGGGAGTTAATAATTGCTCCCAATTGTCCGTCTGGTGGCTCACCGATAGTTTGGACGTAATGGTCCCTAGCATCAACTAGTGTTGAATTTCTGATCGCTTCTGTTATTCTTCTTCTCTTTTGATTATTGGATGATAAATGAAGCATACATGAATAAATATCATCCATCTTATCTCATTACTAGGCAGATTTTAATATCAGACAATATGATTTCAATAAATTGAACGAATACACTGAAGGGAAAACTGTTTGGAATGTATTTGTGAATAATCTCTAATTTACCGAATGTACGTAGTTGAAATGCTGTTAAATATTTCTAAATACCTCTTGAATAATATCTATGTTGTCTGTGTTATTAAGTCCAATTTTATTATTTATTTAAACAACTCTCAAGACAACAAAACAAAAGTGAAGATGTTTCGGAGTACTTTGAAGTTTGCTTTTTCTCTTCATATAATGCAAAGTTTGTTCAAATCAAAGTAAACGTCGACAAATCGACCTTTTCGAAATTCCATTAAAAATCAGCAAAATCCTGTACAGTCGCCCGCTGAAATTAAGAAGAAAACTGTAGGTAAAGTTTCGCACATGTGAATATGGCCCAGTTCGCATGAAAACAAAAGAACGCGAGCTCAAAAAAATCCCCTTTTCCCTTACGATTAGTTATGTGTTTAGGATCTGTGAAAGTGCTGAGTCAAACAGCTGAGTTTTTCCGAAATTCAAAGAGGATAAAATCTGTGCAAGTCTCAAAGATTGACATGAAATTTTTTCACTTATTACGAGTCGATAGAGCTTTTCAAGGGCTACAAAATGCTTATATGATTTGATTTTACTTGTTTCTAGCTATTAAAAAAAACTGAAAAGTTTCGGCTTGAAAGTTGATCCCCTTACATGTGTTGTGTTTTCTTTGTCTAGTTCTTTGTTTGTTGTGGTTTCTTTGTCTACAGAAAAATATTTAACACACATTCTATAGAGAATTAGACAGCGCATCTTTTGGAAAAACAATCATGTCAAAAAGTTGAGAAGAAAAAATTTATAGTAGAAATACTGAGAGGGTCAGTCTATAAGGAACACCCGTTATTTACACCCCTCCCACGACATACCGCTAAAAATACCCAAACTATGAAAATTCATAGAAGAGTCGGGGTCCTGTTCGCAGAAATGTCGTGTCACGACATTTTACATCGAGTAAGAGATACAGTAGTACTGAACACTCCTCTTTGTCATTGTATCGTGTTATAAAATATAGCCAAATTGAACTACCTGTTGCGTACGCTTAAGTCGCATACGGGATTGCTTACAGCCGACTCCTAGAAGAGTATTCTACTTCTGTTTAAAAGAAAGGGAAGTTTACTATGTACTTTTTACTACTTACATAATGTATATATATGAACAAGTGTCTCTGCTGATAATTAATATGACGAGTCGAAACTTCTCAAAAGAGATTCAAAGCTCCTAATTGACTTTGCAAGATCAAACAACATCAGAGGGCGACATACAAGACTGAGTGTGAATTTGCAAAAGAAAGTATCTCTTTTGAGACGCAGCCTGACGAGCATTTATCTATATTTATTTTTCACCAACATAAGAAGCAAACCATGCTTGAGTAAAAAATAACGTCCATAAGAGATAGCGGCCTCAACATTGATAGCTGGAATAATAATATGAGATAGTAAAAATAATTGTGAAATTCCATCAATATAATGTACGGTAAGGAAAAAAAGTAAAATTTGATTACTTCATAGATAAACGACTAGGAGAATTGAAAATTTTTGTGATAGAGTATTAGCACAATTATAGAAAAAATTTTCAATTCGTAATCCGCTGTTTTTTACAGAAATAAAAAGTGTTTACTGTTACAATGAACCTTGTAGATGAAAACAAAAAAAACAAATTCATTACTTTTGAAAGAAGCTCGCGAACATGAGCCAAAATCCTGTTAGACTTTTTATTAGGACACTTTCTGTTATCGATCTGTATAATATTATTAAAAACGGTGTGCGCTTGATGGGATTCCATCGTAAGTCCAGAGACTCAAAACTTTGAATTAAGGAGATGGTAGACATTGAAAAGAAATATCTGAGTAAAAGAATGCAGTACTTGGACAAATTAATTTGCTTTTGGCAATAATCATACCTCTGACAATATTTCGCTGTCAATAGAACATTTCAGATTTGTGTTCTTATAAGAAACTTGATTCTTTGAAAGACTCCTTATCTTTATCTCTTGAAAATATCTGAGTGTTCTCAAATGATTTTTCTCTAAGGTTTTCCGTCTCTTGTCGAATTAATAAATTAAGCTTCTGTTTGTTCTTTAACTTCTTTTGCGCTATAGGACGTCATTTCAATTGGATATGTTAAATTAAACTTTGAGTAATCAACTCGATATTGTCCGCTACCTTTGTGAAATATTACTAAGCGTTCAAATCGATGTCCCCATTCAATTTCTGATGGTATATAAGATGTTTTTGCTTGAGTTGTCATTCCTGTTGCTTCCACGATACCTTCTAGAATAACAACAACTTCAAAACGTTCTTTCGTCAGATCATTTTTCCTCAAAGTCCACAGTGGTGAACGCTCATCAATAACATGATCGATAGTCAACGGTCGAATCAAAAATAGTCGATCTGTCCCATTATCATAACCAACATTCATATCATACGTTTCTGTTGGGATTGTTTCTCCTTCTTGCGTTACACGTTTTTTAATCAAATACATTCGAACATGTGCCTCGACAATGTGAGATCTTCTCATGTCACCGACACGACATTGAAAAGATAGTTGACCATCTCTCACACACACTACAGCTTTGCGTGACCATAATAATGTTTCAGCACGTAGTCTTGGACGAGATATTTTCATAAACACAAGACCGACAATGAAGCTTTGTATCATTAAACCAACGCTCGATTGTATCATCACCAAAAATATAGCAAAATGGCAATTTTCATTTATTGAACGTGTACCGTAGCCAATTGTCTGCTGTGTTTCAATAGAGAACAGAATAACACCGGCAAATGAATGTGCCCCAACGATACAAGAGGAATAATTTAACTTTTGCAAATTGTGTCCTCTCAAATCACCATGAACAGCCAATACCATGTACCATATGACGGCAAAGATTAGCCAGCTTGAAATAAAACTCATTATAAACAGAATTAGGGTCCAAGGCCATGGAAGATCAATAAGAGTAGTAAATAGATCAGCTAAATACTGACGACTGCGTTGTTCTATGTTATATCTTCAACAAAAAGAAAACATTAAATGCTCATTCAATCTTGACCTATGCTGGTTTTAATGACACCGTTACTTACCCTACGATGTTTACTTCACCGTTTTTCGATAATAATCTTTTCTGCGTATCCTTGTTCGTAGACTGTCTATCAAGAAGAGATGATTTTCCATCGTTCAATGTAGATTCACCGAATCTAAATAAAAAAAAAGCGACACAGGTTAGCAACAACATGGGGTTCCCGAAACGATGCGCAAGAGGAGACTTATGCGTGGAATCATGCGCACGGGTACCTTACGCGAACTAAAAGATTTCTATGCGGAACATTCCTCGTGCGTAAGGTATCCGTGCGGATGATTCTACGCGCAAGTTTCCTCGTGCGCATGAATCCATGCGCAACATTGTTCGCGAGCATCGTTCCTAAATCCAACAATATCATTAATATATAGACAGCTTGCGTTAAATACATTTCTGTCAAGCAAAACTTCGTTGTAGAAATTTTTCGAAGCTGTTAATCAACAGAAAGCAATTGTAGCCGGTTAGTGCTAGGCCTGTAAAAGTTCACGTTCGCGTTCAAGGAACGCGAATGCTAAAGCACTGGAGAACGTGAGCTAGTTTAGTTTTACACAAACGGTGTTCGTGTTGTCTGACGTAAATATAAAATTCTGTTCTTGTACTGTAGAAAGAACATAATATACTTCTGCTTGGCCTTATCTAATCAATAGAAACTCTAGTGAACAGTTAGATAGTCTGCTCAGAGCAGTGACCAGATTATTGCAATGTAAAAAGGATAGCCATTGGTTCTCTGATCAAGACACGGATTCTTCCACGAACAGATCGCCGATTTCCTGCCCGAAGAGTAGTTTTTCCTGCAGTGAAACCGAAGTTCCTTGATCCAAACCATTTCAGTAACCACATACGTTTTCCCTTGTTATCGTAACCTATTTGGGGCAAACGATCGTTAGATTTTCACTAAATCTAACTGGTACTGAAGAAGGCTGTTTCATTTAATATACTACTAGGTGAAATTGCTGTATAACGTTTTGCAATTCTATTCATTCCACACAAGATCAACACCATCAATATAAAATAAAGCACACGTTCACCAGAACATTCGCGTTTACGTTCAAAAAACGTCATGTTTAGCGTTCACGTTCAAGGAACGCCAGCGTGCTTTAGCGTTACGTTCAAAGAGAACGCTAAAAAGGAACGCTGAATTTTTGCGAACCGAGTCGGATCCGCCATATTGAAAACAGTTCTTGAATAATCTAAATTGTCCTGAGACCAATATCAAAAAATAATTTTTTTTGTAGTATTACTATCAACGTGAGGAAAAATATATTCCGAAGTGAGGTTTCAGGAACACTTCAGACTTTATTCAAGAACCGTTTTCCAACATGATAGATTCGACTCTGATAGTCTTATGTGTTGATGCTTGTTATAAATTTTCTGCAACGAATGTTCGTAGAAAGAAATGCGTCTGGCACAAACATTTTGTATTCAGACTTTGATCTTTCTGAAGAATTTTTAGAAAAAGAAAGAAATTTTTAAGTGTCAAACACTTTGTAAATATGAGAAAATGTTTTTTTGCTTCAAATGTTAGAAGTACCGTTGTCACGCATATTTTAATCATAGTTATAAGTTAATTTATAGCCAGCAAGGAATGCAAAAATGAACTAGTATCCGTACCAAAATATAATACAGGTTACCGTTTCTTTGATAACTCGAAGACGATGATAGATAGAGAGTTGCGGTTTTCACTAATGAAAAGAGGACTATTTTCCCAATCTTTTCACAAGCAAAAGTTGAAGTTAAAAAAGTTTTGAAGATAGGTTTTTCAGCGGATCTTTCGAAAACCTCTTCATGTCGCTGGAACCCTACGTAATGATATACCCATTTTTTTCCATAG